CACCGTCAGGAGATCCAGGACCTCCAACAGCGGTAGTGTCTCCAGCGGGCGGTACCTTAACACCAGGAGCTCCACTCCGGAGGCTGCAGCGCCGAGCGTACCACTTACGTAGCCGCTGAGCGGAGGGAGGCTCTGTCTGCTACACGGCACCCGCAGGACGACTAGCCCCAGCTCCAGCAGACCCCCCACGACGAAGGCTGCAACGCTGGGAGTACCACTCACGCAGCTGCTGTGAAGAAGGAGCGTCAGCAGGTGCAGCACGGTCAGTCTCAAAGCCCCCAGCCTCAGTCCCTCGAGGCACAACACCCCAAGACGCAGCACCTCCACGCTCAGCACCTACAGTCTATGCACCCCCAGACTCAGCACCCCCAGTCTCCGCACCCTCAGACTCAGCACCCCCAGTCTCTGCACCCGCAGTCTCAGCACCCCCAGGCTTAGCATGCTCAGTACCTAGCACATGACCAGAGTCAACAGCTACCTTGACAGCCTCGACCGGGTCTACCTGGGAAACACCTGAGGGAGCAGCACCCTGGGGAGGCAGGAGGTCGACCGAAGCAGCACCTGGCATGAGAAAGAGCGGCGGAGGGGGGAGCGGGGCAGTGCGGTAGGGAAAGAGACGGTAAAAGGGTACCGACTCGTCAAAGGTGAGGTCCTGAGAGGCGAAGACCCGGCGCGAGGTGGGGTGGTAAAACTGCCAACCAGGCGTGTCAGGGACAAAGCCCAGGAAGACACAGGGAACGGCACGGGAGGAGAGCTTGTCCACGGACGTATCGCGGACAAAGGCTCGACATCTCCAGACTCGGAACACCGACGCATCGCCAACCTCCCCCATCCAACGCAGGGTGGGCGAGGTCTCCGGAACGGAGACACGGGGCCAGAGGTTGAGCTGATGCGCGGCGTACTGGACTGCAAACGGCCACAGGAAATGGGGGGCAGCCGCATGGATCATGGAGGTATGCGTGACCTCCATGACTAGACCAATGCGGTGCTCAGCAACCCCATTCTGCTGCATAGAGGCCGGGAGAGTGAATGTCTTGCGGATGCCGTGCTCCGCACAGTAGGCTGCCAAGAGGTCAGAGGAAAACTCACCACCTCTATCAGAGTGCAGACGCAGGACAGGAAAGTCCGACTGGAACCGCTTGCGGAGTTGGAGACGAGCAGCGCGGATCCAGGGCATCAAGACATTAGGGACCTCACCCTTGGTACGCAAGGGGAAGACCGTGGTGTAGTGCGTGTAGTCGTCGACGACCAGCAGAAAGTGCCGCTCGTGGCCCTGTCCCCGAATGCGAGCGGGGCCCCGCACGTCTTGGTGGAGAGTCTGCAGGGGAGCCTCTTCGGGAGGGAACGAGGAGGAGTGAGGAGTGGCGCGCTGCCGCCCCTCGACACAGGGAAGACAGGGAGGTGCAGGCGAGGGTGGGAGGGGAGGGAGAACCCTGGGAAGACAAGCGACAAGGTACCTGGAGGGCATGCCGCGAAGGCGCTGCACTGACGGGTGACCAAGGCGGTGGTGCCAGAGGACATTCTGGTGCGACAGGGAGCGACACGAGCAGGGGGTAGATAGCTGACCTGACGCAGACGCAGACGCAGCTGCCTGAGGAGACTCAGTGGTCAGTGTGTACAAGTCCGACCCCAGCTGCCGAGTGAAGGTATCGAGGTGACGTCTCGTCCGCGCACACGTGCGGTGCGTCACACGCTCGTAGGCCGGGGTGAACTGGTGAACACCCGCGTCCTGGAGTGCGGAACCCGCCACCAAGTTTGTAGAGAACAAGGGGCGGTAGAGGCCCGACAGCGTGCCAGACGGGACAGCAGGACAAGGGAGGGCAGTGGTGGAGGTCGCAAGGACCGGACCCCCTGAGGGGTCAGCCAGAGAGACAGCAACCGGTCGAGGAAGCTGCTCTAGGGCAGTGCGGTCACAAAAGAAATAGCGGGAAGCACCTGAGTCCAGTGTGAAGGTTTGTAGTGCCTCAGTAGGTGCGGTGCCAGCAGACGTAGACGCACTAGCACCTAGGGCAGCAGCCTCACCAGGACCTAGAGCAGCAGACGTGCTAGCACCTAGAGCTGCAGCCTCACTGGTCCCAATGCTCGGGTCAGGCGGAACACTTAGGTTACAGTCACCCTCAGCACTAATAGTCAATGCATACATAGCAGCAAGAATAGCATCATAATCAAGCGCAAAGATATCAATCCCCTTCTTAAGCAGATCAGCCCAGCGGGGCAGCTCAGAGGCGTCAGGAAACTGCTCACGCCAGGCGTCGTCGAGGCAAAAGAAACAGCGCTGCGCAGTGTGAAACCTCCCACAAGTCTGGCCAGTGCGGTCACCTGTGCGGATGACATACGGGCAGGTACCCCTTCCCCCAGACCCCCCACGCTGAGAGTACCACTCACCGAGCTGCTGGGGCGAGGGAGCCTCGCCGGGGCGCTGCTGCTGCTGCCTCTGGCCACCGCCAAACCCCCCACGCTGTACCGCTCCACCGCGCCCGCCACCCGCTCCACCGCCGCCACCACTGCCAGCACCACCGCCACCACCCCCACCACCGTCGCCGCCGCCACCACCCCCGGTGCCGCGAATGACCCCCCCACCACCCGCGCCACTCCCACTTCCGCCACCACCCCCGCCCCCCGCACCTCCACCACCCTTGCCTCCCTTGCCCTTGCCGCCCTTGCGTCTCCCACTTGGAGCAGACGCGGCCTCGACTTTCTCAGCTCCGAGGAAGTTGACAGCAGTAGAAGATGCAAAGGATGGGAGGAGGGGGGAGGGGGAGCACCCCTCAAAGAAGGGGGTACGGGGGTCACCACGAGAGGTACCTGCAGCGACAATGCTCTTCTCAGCTGCTAGGAGCTCCTTCTCGAGGAGGTTGACAGTGAGGTCAGTGGGGGAGAGGGCGAGAAACTGGTCCCTGACTGTGCGAAGGGAGTCAGGGAGGCGGGTGACAAGGTGGTACAGTGTGAGGTACATCGGGGGGGGGGGGGGGGGGGGGTCTTGGCAAGGAAATCGGGGGGGAGCGATGCACGGTAGCGGAGGTCACTTGTGAGGATCTAGGATCGAGCTCAGAAAAGAGAATGATTTTGAATATGATCACCTGGGTACAACACGAGGCTATATATAGGCTCGACACAAAGCCCCGTAACCAGGTGTTATGCGAAGGTTCCGCGGGTCGCGTAGCGTCCCGAACAGACCCTTACCGAATTCGGTAGAAGGCAATTCGGTGGCAACCGAAAAGGCCAGAATTCGGTGCACGCAACCTAGCTCGGTGCTATAACTATAATAAAATATAGGAAAGCACCTAGCCTAGGAAATCAAGCAATTCATGCATGCATATGATTATCCTATGCTAGAAATAGCATAATAAAGTAGAGGCAAGCAAGCATAGCTGGCATAAGCCGTCGTACTCTCACACGTCCCCCCCTCAAAGCTGGGTGGCGTGAGATACACCCTGCTTGCCAAGATAGTCCTTGAGAGCACGGCGTGCGTTGCCCATATTAGCTTCTGCAACCCAACTGTCCTCAGTGGGGTCGTATCCCTTCCAGCGTATCAGGAACTCGAGAGTCTTGCCGCCGCGACGCCGATGAGAGAGAACGCGCTCGATCTCGTACTCGGGTTCATCCTGTACAAGAACAGGTGGAGGTGGCGGTAGCTGCCGTCCCTGGAACTGTTTGTTGGGGTCCTTATAGGGTTTCAGTAGCTGCACATGGAAAGCATTGTGAAGCTTCCAAGTAGTAGGTAAGCGCAAGCGGAATGTAACTGGTGTCACCTGTGCCTCAACGAGAAAAGGACCACAGAAGCGAGGCCGGAGTTTGGATGGGAGGTGAGACAGGTTCAAGTTGCGCGTGTCAAGAAGCACCTGATCTCCGACTGCTACTGAGTGATCTCGTCGCTGGCGATCGGCATACTGCTTCTGGGAGGTCTGCATTGTGGTGAGTCGTCGCTGAGTCTTCTCCCATAGCTGCTGCATGGTGGTGACGAAGTCATGTGCGGCTTGGACGTCTGCCGGTGTGGTTGGCTGCTGTGGTGTAAGTGGTTCCCGTCCGTAACACAGGAAAAAAGGAGTTTTCCCTGTGGCCGCATGAGACGCGTTGTTGTAAGTGAACTCTAGGGTCGGTAACTGTGTGTCCCAGTGGCTGATGTCATCCTTGCAAGCTGTGCGCAGTAACTGTTCAACCACTTGATTGAGTCGCTCTGTCTGTCCGTCAGTCTGGGGGTGGTATGCTGAAGACATTGCAAGTTTTGTCCCCAACAGTCCCATCAGCTCCTTCCAGAACTTACTGGTGAATTTTGGGTCTCTGTTTGAGATGAGTGTAGCGGGGATGCCGTGGATGGTGATGATGCGGTCGAAGAAGAGGCGAGCAGTTGCTTCAGCTGTAGCTGTGGCGTTGGTCGGTATGAAGTGACCCATTTTGGAGAACTTATCGATGACTACGAGGATGGAATCGTGCCCCCGTGAGGTTGAAGGAAGTCCTGTGATAAAGTCGAGGCTAACGACCTGCCATGGCTGCTCCGGTACGGGTAGAGGCTGAAGTAACCCTGCTTTTTTCTGCTTGCTACTCTTCATCCGCTGGCACGTGTCACAAGAGGTGACGAACTGCTGCACGTCTGCTGCCATCCCGGGCCAGTAGTAATACTTCGCTATCCCTGCTAACGTCTTGTTGCTCCCGAAATGTCCCGCGTAAGGTACGTCGTGAAACTCCTCCAATAGGATCTGTCGTAGCGGGGCGTAATTCGGTACCCAAATCTTTCCTGAACCCTTCCTTACTGCTAGGTCTTTCTCCCACTGTAACAGCTTCTTGGTCTGTGCTGTAGCAATCTCTGCGTCCACGGAGTACCCATGTTGGAATAGACCCTTGAGCAGAGGGTTCATCCCGTCGAGCTGGATGCCTGCTACATGACCGGGGCGGCTCAATGCGTCTGCTTTGTTGTGTAGCCCGGGCTTGTAGACGATGTCGTAGTGGAAGTGAGTTTCCAGGAAGTCCACCCACTGCACCTGTCGTCGTGAGAGCGTCGGCTACGACTTCAGGTATTTGAGACTGCAGTGGTCAGTATAGACTGTAGTCTTGGCTCCCTCTAAGTAACACCTCCACGCTTTGAAGGCTATGACTATCGCTAAGGCTTCCTTGTCGTGAATGGGGTAGTTCAGTTCTGCTCCGTGTAGCTTCTTACTGAGGTAGGCGATAGGCTGTAAACCGCGTCTGTGATCCTGCATCAGTACTGCTCTGACTGCTTGGTCACTAGCGTCTGCTTCAACTACGTAGTCCTTCTCAGGGTCTGGTAGGATGAGTGCCGGGGCTGTGGTCAGTGCGGTCTGTAGCTGCTCCATGGCTTGCTGATGAGGAGTATCCCATTTGAAGGGTGTATCCTTTTTCAGTAGGTCGGTCAGTGGCGCTGCAATCTTAGCGTACTGTGGCACAAACCTGTTGTAGTAGTTGGCGAAGCCTAGGAGCTGCTGCAACTCCTTCACGTTCTCCAGTACTTTCCACTTTTTGACGGCTTCGATCTTCCGCGGGTCCACGTGTACGCCCTCGGCACTCACCATGTGCCCGAGAAACTGCACCTTCTTCAGGGCGAAGTCGCTCTTTGACAGCTTCACGTAGAACTTGTTCTTCCGCAGGATCTCGAACACCTTCCGCAGATGCTCCACGTGCTCCTTCATGTTCTTGGAGTAGATGAGAATATCGTCCACGTACACCACCACGCACTCGTCCAGCAGGGGCCGTAAGATGTGATTCATCTCCGCCTGAAACGTTGCTGGTGCGTTACAGAGTCCGAACGGCATCACCAAGTATTCGTATGAGCCGTATCTGGTACAGAACGCCGTCTTGTGGATCGAGTTGTCCGCCATCTTGATCTGCCAGTAACCCGACCGTAGGTCCAACTTCGAAAAGACTGTTGCACCACGCAGTTGGTCCAGTAAGTCGTCGATGCGCGGTATGGGGTATTTGTTTTTTTACTGTCTGTTTGTTCAGTGCGCGGTAGTCAAAGCACATCCGTAGACTGCCGTCTGGTTTTGGGGTAAAGAGAACTGGTGCACCGTAGGGAGAGGTGGATGGGCGGATCAGTTGTCTGTCCAGTAGATACTCTATCTGTTTTTTCATGTCTATTAGTTCGGTCGGACTCAGTCGGTATGGTGCACGTGAGACGGGTTTCGCACCTGGTTCCTCCATGATCTCGTGTTCGTGGGTGCGTGCAGGGGGTATGCCTGCAGGTAGGTCGTCGGGCATTATATCCTTGTACTGCTCCAAGACCTCCTTCACTGCTGCAGGTAGCTCCAAACTCGGCTTCTCCTCCTCTGCTGCTGCCATAACCAGTGCTAGGTAACCCGTGTTACTCTCGTTCACCGTCTGTTCGAACCGTGCCAGTGTCGTTTCAGGAATGCTCCCTGTATCCGTCCAGCTTCGCAGCTCCACCCGTTTCCCGTTGTTGTAGATGCACGCCTTCCTGTTGACCCAGTCGATCTCGGGGTTGAACCGCTTCAAGAAATCTCGCCCCAAGATGAAATCTAAGCCCTTGATATTCGTGATCGGCAACGTCGGCTTCCACCTCAGCGCCCCTATGTGCAGTTGCAGTGATGCTTCGCCGTGGATGGGAAGTTTTGTACCGTCCACCATTGTTGCCATGAACTTGGTCTCCTCCGAAGGTTCTCCAATTTTCTCCAACGTCCCGCGGTCGCACACCGAGTGAGATGCACCGCTGTCTACCAGTGCCTGGAAGCGTCGCCCGTTGCAGATCACCTCGAGTAGTAGTGGTTGTTGCTGCTCCGAGTAACCGTAGATAGTCTCGCTTATAGGATCGTAGGGTATGTCGAATAGATCATTCCTCGGTCCTGCGCTCGAAGCTGCTGACTCCATATCAGTTTCCAACTGAGTAGGGTTAGAAGGATTTATCCGAGGCCGATTCAGCTTCGTCATGGCCTGGAACCTTCCCTTAAGCCTTTGTAGTTGTGTAGGCTTCTCCTGTGGGCAATGGGGAGCCTTAACACTTTGCTGCGGGGAGAGAATATGAACTCCTTGGAACGCACGACCCTTTTCAACGCTCCGGAGTGGTTTGCCTAACTTCTCAGGTACCTGAATAATGTCAAAAGGCTTTTTCTTGGCCTTGAAATCTCCCCTGAATTTTTTAAAGGCTTGAAAACCTCGAGAGGGAATATTCTTACTCGCGGGGGTGTTCGGCTGGAGTTTCCCGGTCGGTGCAGAGTCTTGTTTCGCGGAGCCTCCATTTGTCTCGGCGATTTCCCCTGTTGCCGGCCGGTCGTGACGTTTTATATTCGCGCCATCATTTTCTCCTTTTTTCGCCCGCTCCGAAGTCGCCACGTCGTCGCCCTTTTTCGCTTTTCGGATCTTTATGCGATCGCCAGTTCGATCGGCGGCTACTGGCGATTCCCGTTTTTTGACTTCGGGGGTGCTCCACTGTTATCGTCCTGCATGATCGCACGTACTTTCTTCAAATTGTAGCACGACAAAATCTGATGCCCTGCTGCGCCGCAAAATTCGCATTTGGTCGGCTGCCGCTTCGCGTCGAATTTGTCGATATCCATCGGTTCGGCGAACGTGGGGGGTGCCGATCGCTCCGTGCCGAATGTACGGTTCGGCGTGAAACGCCGTGTTTCGGGTTGACTTCGGGTCAGCGCGTCGTAACGCTCGGCTGCACGCACGATGTCCTTGTAGCTTTCGTGATTTGACGCGATCACCTGCCGTTGAACCCCCAATTTTAACCCTTATGTATATGCCGTGATTTTTTCGCCTTGGGTCAGGTCGGGGATGCGGGTGAACAGGAGCTCCATCTGCTGCGTGTACTGCGCTACACTACCGTACTGCTTGTGCCGATGAATTTGTTGCCGCGCCATATAGGTAGTATTAACCGGTTCGAAACGCCCGATAAATTTTGCCCGAAACTGCTGCCACGTTTTCTCCCCGCGGGCCACGTCAGTGTTGTAGATCCACTCGAGTGCTGGTCCGCGTAACAGTGTTGCTGCGAGCCGGATTCGTGTTGCGTCGTATGTCGGGGTCGAACAGCCAATGGCCTCGAAGTAGATCTCGAGGATTGCCACGAAACGCCAGACGTCGGATCCCTTTGCGCTTGGATCGAACGCTTCCGGGAGCCTCGGTCGTGCTGCTTCGAGGTTCGGCGTTGGTGGTGCCATTGGGCCGTGAAATATAGGTGTCGCCACAGCTGCTGGAATTGTCGGTGCTGTAGTGGTTGCAGTCGCTGCTGCTGTCGTGGCGAGCGCCGGGTGGCTTGTTAAAAAAGCCTCGAGTCGACGAAGCGTCGCCTGCGTCTGCTCCATGTCGGTGCGGAGGCTCGCGACGTCGCTCGTGGTCGCGTAGTTGTCGCCCTGGCCTTCCATGCTGTGAGTCGAGTTGACTGTAGAAATTACGAGGGCTGTTTCTGTAGGTCGCGTTATTCTCCCTTAGTCGAAATTCGCGTCTGATCTCGGCCGTTGAGAAGAAATTCGATCCGACGCTCCAAACTCCAACTTTTTTGGGCGAAATTCTCAGGGCCGTTGAGATTCGAATCCATCCGACGGTCGAAATTCCAACTTTTTTGCCACTGGACCTGAGGAGTGTTCGAAAACCGGTACGAGGGGGACGTTAGAAAATAGCGCAAAACTGGTTTACGTACCCGAAATCGGCGCTTCCCGTCGTCGCCCCCGTGGTTTTAAAAGCTAGGTTTTAGCGGTCGAAAAACATCGCTTCAAACAGGCTCTGATTACCAAGTGTGAGGATCTAGGATCGAGCTCAGAAAAGAGAATGATTTTGAATATGATCACCTGGGTACAACACGAGGCTATATATAGGCTCGACACAAAGCCCCGTAACCAGGTGTTACGCGAAGGTTCCGCGGGTCGCGTAGCGTCCCGAACAGACCCTTACCGAATTCGGTAGAAGGCAATTCGGTGGCAACCGAAAAGGCCAGAATTCGGTGCACGCAACCTAGCTCGGTGCTATAACTATAATAAAATATAGGAAAGCACCTAGCCTAGGAAATCAAGCAATTCATGCATGCATATGATTATCCTATGCTAGAAATAGCATAATAAAGTAGAGGCAAGCAAGCATAGCTGGCATAAGCCGTCATACTCTCACATCACTGGTACGGAGGTGGGTGATCAGGTCTGCTACAGTGGCAAAGGCGAACAGGTCGGGGAAGAGGTAGGGCAGTGAGAGACGGCCTATGGCAGCTGTGGCAGGGGAGGAGTAGCACGCGACTACGACGTCGTACAGCTCCTTGGCGGTCTTATGTTGTCCGAAGTGCTCGCGCTCATCTAACGGTAGGTGACTGCGAACGGCTAGGCGAGCGTGTGCATCACGGGTCTGCCACTGGAAGCGAGCACTATGACGAGAAGTGAGAATGGATGAATGAACTATGAAAGAGTTGGGTACAAGTACTAACCCTAATTGGGTTGTACCCCATATGGGCTACCCCACTACAGCCTACACAAATGTATAAGCTATAATGTTCTGACACACCCCCATAGGCAAATTGGGGGAGAACAAGAGGTCACAAGACCAGTCAAGCAAAGCAAAGCAAAGCAAGCTCAGGGTGGATCACAAAGTCAGCACACAGTCCAATCACAAGAGTAGGGCCACAAGGCCAATTCACATGCAAGAACATATATATAAAGTTAAAACAAGCAAGGGCAGATATAGAAAGAACACATCCCACTGACGATGTTCGCCCCAGGTGGGGGAACCTCGTCGACGTAGGTGCCTGTGGACTTCCAGGAAGCCATCTCTGCGTCCATGGCTGACTGCCACTATGAGGAGTAGGGACCCTCGATCGCCTCAGCGTACGATCGAGGAGTCGGGATGTCTGGTGCATCCGGGTCTCCCTCAGGGGCAATCAGCGTGGACACGAGATGGGGCAAAGCAGCAGCAAAGCACTGGAACTCCTCCTGCCTGTCCTCAAGGACGTCCGTGCTAAGAGCACACTCACCCCCAACGGACGGAGGACAGACAGACTCAGACTCAACAACTAGACTGGCAGCGTAGTCCAGACGACAGCGAGCAGCGAAGTCGACAAGCTCAGCAACGAGAGCAGACGCAGCAGAAGACTCAAAGGTAGGGTCAGTGACAACAGTAGCAAGAAGGCGCGTGACCGAAGGACTAGCAGCACGAAGGGAGTCAGACTCTGGGTCAGCAAGAGAAGGAAGAGAGGACTCTGGAGGAGACGGCAAAGGGACACGCAGAGGAGCAGTGGACGGACGCAGTGCCATCTGGTGCGTGCCGGGGACCGCAGGAGGACGCGGACGCGCAGCACGACGACTAGTGCGAGCAGCACGAACAGGCGACGCAGGGCGGGACGCAGGCTCACAACGCTCAGCAAGACCTCCAGTAGGACCAGTGAAGGGAGAAGGAGCAGGTAGCGGGGAGGCGGGCTGTAACTGTGACTGCGACTAGACAGGCTATGGACACTCTATGGGAGGAGCAGGACCAGGAGAGGGAGGGAGACCAAGAACCTGCTCCAGGAGCGGAACGAAGTACGGCCTCGGCCGCTCAGCGCCTCCAGAACCAGCAAGGACAGCACCAGTACCCCTAGCAGCAGCATCAGCACCAGCAGAGCCAACAGCTCCAACAGCGCCAACTCCAGTACCCTCAGAAGCACCAGCACCAGCAGCACCGCCATTGCCAACACCCCCAGCAGCTCCAGCTCCAGCAGCACCAACTCCAGCAGGACCGTCAGCACCAGCTGCCTCGACAGCACCCCCAGACGCACCAGCACCAGTAGAAACACCAGCGCCAACACCCCCAGCAGCTCCACCTCCAGCAGCACCAGCACCGACAGCAGCTCCAGCAGCACCCCCAGACTCAGCAGCACGTCTCCAGCGGCGGGCGAACCACTCGCGCAGCTCCTGTGGAGAGAGCAGCTCCCGCCTCGACGAAGCACGGCCGGCGGCCACACGAGAGGACCCAGCACCCCCAGGCCCCGCACCCCCAGGCTCAGCACCCCAAGACTCAGCACCCCCAGTCTTAGCACCCCCAGACTCAGCACCCGCAGACCCGGCACCCGCAGACCCGGCACCCGCAGGCTCAGCACCTCGAGCAGCACCAGAGTCAACAGCTACCTCGACAGGCTCGACTGCGTCTACCTGGGACACACCTGAAGGGGCAGGACCCTGGAGAGGGAGGGGGTCTACTTGGGTAGCACCTGGCGCAAGGAAGAGCGGCGGCGGGGGGAGGGGCGCAGTGCGATAGGGGAAGAGACGGTAGTAAGGCATCGACTCGTCAAAGGTGACGTCCTGGGAGGACAGAACACGACGCGAGGTGGGGTGGTAAAACCGCCAGTCAGGCGCGTCAGGGGAGAAGCCAAGGAAGACGCAGGGAACAGCACGGGGGGACAGCTTGTCCGCAGACAAGTCGCGGACAAACGCTCGAGATCCCCAGACCCGAAACGCAGACGCATCGCCAACCTTCCCTGTCCACCACAATCCCACCTGCCGTCACCTGGGACGCCGTCATCGGCGACAGCCCACTACGTCGGCCTCCGACGTCACCCTGCGAAGAGCCTGCAGCCGCCGACGTCTGCATCCCTCGCGCCTGAATGCCGCCGACTTCACCGGCATGTATCACACCTCTTTGCCTCGACGTGCCTCCAACACTGCTGCCGACTTGACCACCACCGGCGTTGACGCCGCCTTCGTTGTTCACCGGACGAGGAGAGGCAGGTCGAGACGGGTGCTCGGTCGCCCACGTGGAGCGGAGTCCAGCCTCAACGACCGCCCAGGGCAAGTCGCCATACTCGTTGGCCTCGTGCTTCCTCCTCGCGTTCTCCAACCGTGCCTCCAGGGTGTCTACCACCCCCGCGTCACCTACGGCTCCTACCATAGTGACTACCGCACAGTTGCCGGCCT